TATATATCAGTTCATGGGTTTTAGAAAGACTCCTATAGTTATTCTCTGTTTCAAGGGTAAAAGATTCCTAAGTTTTAACTTGCTGTATACGCAAAGCATATTATATCATTAGCCAACTGGTAGTTCCTAATCCTCCCACCCATCAACAAGGTTTTTTCTTATCATACATAAATAGATCATATTCAGGAGGAACACACCCACCAAGTAGACACTTGAAGATGATAAACCAAGCTCTCTAGAGTCTGTTGGAGAACAAAAACTTAACTTTCTCCCCAAAGGCTGATAATCTAAGTCAAGAACCAGCATGTGGGTAAAATTGCCTTACTAATCATTTATGTATTCTGAGACAGAATGAGCTTCTAATACTGGACAAAGTAGAAAACAGAGCGATAAAGATGAGGGGCCTGGATGCTGAAGTTAAAAATGGTATACATTGTGTCCTAAAAGCTGCCCATAGTCTCAGGTCCTCCTTGGTAAGCTCCTCCTTTCTTCAGACCTGATCGCTCATCTGTAAGATGTAAGTGCCAATCACTGCTTCAGACTATAACACATCACTCCCAGGCTGAGACCTGAAACCTAATCTGCTCAAGGACTCATGCCACTAAGCAACCATGCAGAGACAGGCACCTGCAAAGTGCTTGGAAGGGAACTAGGCACAGTGTAAAGCTTTTTTTGAGTCAAGGATCAGGGTTGATCTAATGCACCCATAAGCTTTCTAGAGACATGGATGGCCCTCGGATATCTATGAAGCAAGAGGTTATCAGCATGTACAAACCACCTTGTCTCACTGGACACCTGGTTTCAAAAGATCTATATAATGTCCTCATTTTAGAAAGTTATTTCGGGGACCTTGGTACAGCTCTCAGGGTTAACACTTGGAAGGAGAAATACAAGCACAATAATGTCTATGATCGTTCTTGGGCCACAGAGAAAAATTTTTCCTTCTGTGTTTATTAGAAGAGAAACATTCATATTGGCACATTTGACTAGGTAAGGAATAGTCAAAATATTGTCTGAAACAAAAATCCTATCAATTCACAGTTGTGTGTTTTTCATTGTAGAGACCACAATCAGAGAGAAAAAGAGGAAGGGAAGGAAAGAGACAGAGACAGACAAACTGACATGGAAATTTATTGTTCATAGCAGCTTGTTTTTCATACAGCAGGGTAAAGATCCATGATTTAGAGAGTGATGGTCCTATCACGTGAAATTTCTCCATTGTAGAAGCATACACATTCAGAGTTCATGGACCAGCAACACCGAAAAGATTTTAGAAACCAACATAAGCTAATTTACCATCTCTTATTAACATTTAATTTAAAAAGATATAATTCCAAAGCTACAAAAGGATATCATTTCAGAATAAAAGTCTCTGAAATTGAATGAATTTAGCTTTATGAATAGCTCATGGTAATTGCCTTATTTTTTCTCATTCAAAATGATGACAGCTTGGTCATGAAAGGCTCTGCTTCTTGCACTTAGCTGCTCTTGGAAAGCCCTAGGTTCCACTGTTTTAAAAGCGTGCCTGAATCTCCACATAGACTTCTTTCTCAAGAGCTCATCAGCTTTTATATCATAGGGCTATGCATTGCTCTCCCTAGCAAAGCAATGCTTGCCATTCTGTGATTAGACTAAAGAAACAGATGGACAGAGAAGTGGCCCAAACACAGCTGTGAGTGAGATATGTGGATTTGTAACATCTGTGTGAGGTACAATCTCTGGAGCCCTTAGACACAAGGTAATAGGAAGATGGAGAATCTTGTCTGGCTTATTTGTTTATGAACCCAGTGCCATGTGGAGACTCGAAGACCTGGATTAATTTCCATAATGGACTCTTCTAGAGCTGGCTCTGTGGCGATATTTTCAAGTAACTCCGTGGGCTATGATTATAGAGAACCAAGGCCAGTAGATTGCTACTGACTGACATTTCTGTGAGCCATTTGAGAACACACCAAAACTCTTGGGGGATTCTGTTTTTGTGTGTCTAGTCCATTGTATTCCGTGTGTAAGCATGACTGTGACGGTGCATGTCACAAGCTAACAAGGCCAAAGCATGGTAAGAATGTTAATGTGGAGGTCAGGCACTAGATCAGAATCCAAGTTTGCCTCATTACCGGTGTGAGGACTGTGACACATCGGATATTCCCTTAGGACTGCAGGCTTCTCGACTGGCAAAAATCTTGAAAAATAGTAATGTAATTTACTAGATGAGGTTGCTGCAAGGTTCATATTAAATACGTATTTAGCACAGTCTTGGAATTTAGAAGTAATGTGTTATCTATTAGCACTGCATAGAAATGAGGAAGTTGAGGGACAGAAATGTGACATGTCACGCGGTCATCAGCCAGGATGGCATATCCTGTCTCCTGAACTCAGGAGAAGCCTCTGATAAAACACAGTGTGGCTCATGGACCAGCACTGCCTGGGAACTTCAGAAATACAACACACCAGGCCCCATCAGTACTTCCTGAGCCATAATTTCCAGTGTAACCAGACCCTGGTAGATTCATAACAACTGAGAAGAGCTTTCCTAAAAACATGGGATTTTAGAAAGTTCTTGCAGTTGACAGAAGAGCATGCACTCTTGAGCAGAAAGAGGTGGGGTTCCTTCCACAATGAGCTCAAGCTAGCCTTGTCCCTGAGAACAAGCAGTAGACCTTGCTTTTAGAGACATCTATCACGAAATATGTGTTTATGAGGCAATTTCCAAATTTAATTAGATGAAACCAATTTGCTTTTTAAAATTAGGATCTAGCTGTAATTTCCAGAGAGGAATCCATAAATTACAAAGCACTCTCTTCTAGCCTCAAAATAAAACCCCTAATATTTTGTTACAGAGAAAAAACTAGGGTGACACAAATGGAAGAGAAATTCAGATTTTCTGTGCCTTTCTATATACAACCCAACCTCGACTCACCAAAACCAAAGCAAAAAGCATGCACACATGTGCATGCACATACACAAACCCACACACACACGAGAGAGAGAGACAGAGAGAGACAGAGATAGAGAGAGAGACAGAGAGAGAAAGAGAAAGACTAGTTCCCATTGCTGAAACCATGTGTCTTAAACAGAGTGGGTCCAAGCAGTGCTCCGACAAAATTTCTTCCCCTTTAAATCCACATCACACAGCAACCTCTGGAGTTATCCTTAAAAAATCTTGTACCCCCCAAATCCGAGCGGCTTTGATTAAGTACCATTCTGTCTTTGAACTCTGGTCTCCATTTTATAATCTGACCACACTAGAGGTGAAGAATCTCAAGCTACAGAACCATGGCATTAGAACTTCAATCAGCAAGATCCTCCGCTGGTAACTCCCATGCACAGTTGAGCATACCAAGCTGTGTTCTGAAAGATATTCTAAAATTCCACCATTTGGACCTTTATAAGGAGGCAGTGGATGTAGTGACAGAATTACAAACTCATCTGGAAACATCTGCGTGAAGGAAGCATGGCAGTCGTTGCATGGAAGATATGGCTGTGTGCTAAGGAATGCTCCTTACGGTGGGATCCAGAGAGCCAAGTATTTTCATCAACAGTGTAGAAATCTTGCTTTCAGACAGTTTTTACGTCTGAGTGGGATGCCAAGTTTCATCAGTCAGGGCCTAGATGTGAAAGAAGGACAGGGACAACCAGAATTCCTCCAACCCAGACCATGACAATAGCCAGAATGAGGTCACTTAGGGCAAAAACCTGTCGAGCAATTGTCTCAAAGTTCTTCAATAAAATCACTGAGAGACAAACTGCCCAGAGCTCATGAAAATAGTAATCAATATGTGTTTTTGTTCCAATTCAATTAATTGTGCTCATCTCTGCCCCAAAATAAAATTCACACCACATGAGGGAATTGGGACAGAAGATGTTACACTTGCAACTGGGTTAACGAAGTGTGAAAAATATTTAAAATTCAGACATATGAAGCTTACCAGTAAGCCTTTCTGTTTAGCAGTCAAAATCACCAAGTTTCTAATTACAGAGTATAAATCTGAGAAGCTTAAAGGGAATGAGAAGAACCTAATGAGGCAGGAATGGGTGTCTTGATTATACTAGACTTGATTGACATTTATCTTGCAAGCTATTCTAGGTACCCAACATTCAGAGTTAAGCAAAACACAGACTTTGCCTCAATAAAACAAGGCAGCATTGCTGTGTGGGAACGCCTTTAAAAGGTATGATAGGTCGAAGAATTGTCAATATTTTTCCAGCATACAGATGGCTGGATTCAGTATGAACATAAAGCAGGGACTCAAGAAATCAACATAGTAGAATGTACTCCAAGACGGCAGCGAGTTCTGAGGCAGAGGAGCTTTGAGCAGGATCAGAGCAAACAGCAACTTTGATGGAGAGAGGTAGCAAGCTGTGTGCAAGATCAGGGTTAAGGGCTCAAAGAGGAGGCTTCTGGACCTGGATGCATGCACACACCACCCTCTGCCCTTTAGCTTGAGCACAGTGAGTACTTAGGCCCCAACAATACTGGCGCTCATGTCTATGATCCACAGAGGAACATTGGGAAGGATGCAATATGGTCCAGATGGACAGGAGGTAGGAAGGGATCCGCTGAATCATGACTAAAACAACTCTAAGCCCGAATTTGAATAATTTAAGACAGATCTGTGTTAATTAGGATATAAGATTTCCATAATGCAGACCACTATGGGGTC